TCATGCCGGGCATGGTCGGGTAGGCGCAGGAGGCCACGGCTTGGGGCGACTTCTCGATCTCCACCAGGCACATCCGGCAGTTGCCCGCCACAGACAGCCTCTCGTGGAAGCAGAACCGAGGCACGTTGATCCCGACCGACTCGCAAGCCTGTTGCGGAAGGGCGACTGGGAGTCGACGCGGAGCGCGGGCGGCGGGCGAGCGAGCCGGAGGGGAGGGGTTGCGGCGAGGTCTGATGCGCCGCGCGCGCGCGTGGGGCAGGCGGAATGCCTGCAGGATACTCGAGCCGCTCTCGATCTGCACTGGGTTTCCGTCGACAATCACCTGGGAGGGATAGCGCGCGCCGGGTCGGAGGTCGCTTCGGCGGCTGCCCGGCCGGCGCAAGGCGTACCTCAATCATCGTCGCGCCGGGGCGCGGCTCCATTGCGGTCTCTCCGCGCTTGTGGATCGGAAGCGTGATTGGCAGGTCGGCGAGGCCATCGGCTTTGAGGTTGACGGCCGTCGCCGCGCCCTTCTCCGTCACCGTCGCCAGCGACGAGAGCTGCCGCGTGCACTGCTGCAAGGCACGCCTCGATGCCGCCGCCCTCATCGGAGGCGACCCCACAGCTCCACAGTGCGAAAAGAATTTTTGCGCTTGGAGATGCTGCGGCTTTGGTGGCACCTCCTGATATAATGCTGATTTTTTGCTGAGCGGGGCGGAGGCACGCGGGCGGCGGAGGCGGCGGCGGACGACGTCTACTACCTGGCCGTCCCCTGTGGTAGCTTAGCGATCAGGGAGGATCTACCTGTTCGGCCTCGAGGAAGCTGCTGGGGGAGAGGGGGGGAGAGAGGAGAGGAGGAGAGGGGAGAGGATGAGAAGAGGAGAGGAGAGGAGAGGAGAGAGGAGGAGAGTGGAGAGAGGAGGAGGGGGAGAGGAGAGAAGAGGGGGGGGGTGAGAGGGAGGGAGGGAGGGAGAGAGAGGGCGGAGCGAGCAGAGAGAGTCTCAGGGGAGAGAGAGGGAGAAAGTTGAGAGAGTGGAGAGGGAGTAGAGAGGGAGAGGAGAGCCTTTGAGCCTTGGCACCAGCCAGGCAGTTGATTTGGCCCTGGCACCAGCCTTGGCAGTTGAATTGGCCTTGGCACCAGCCTTGGCAGGCGGGCACGCGGGACATGCACAGGCAGGCGCCAAGGGGCGCAGAACCGACCTAACCCGTCGGAGGTGGGGGCCTGGTTGGAGCCACGGGGCTCACGAGGACGTGCTCGCTCGGTTCTCGCCGCCTCGCCCTGCGCCACTTGGCCCGAGGCGAGGTGGATCGGTTGGGAGCAAGGGGGCGGAAGTGGCCAGTGCGGTAGATCGGTCAGTCGGGGCGCGAGAGGCGGCGTGTGAGCCATCCGGCTTACATTTAA